ATGAGAATCCTAAATACAGCGAATTACTATAACTAGAGTTAAAAAAGAAAAGTTCTGAAAAATGTGTCACTTTTACACCACTTGCCTTTATTTGAAACTTGTTATGAAGATCTAATAAGTCCAAATTTATTTGCTTTTCATTTTTAAACAATACTTTAATCGAAAAAAGCAATAAAATAAATTTTATCTCACAATATCTTCAAAAAATCTCATCTGGATAGAAAGGACCGATATAAATTGTTTTATTATACTCCTGGAAACGTATTTTAGTAGTTCAAGGGCGAAAAATTCCCTTTTCTTGCTTTTTCTGTCGCTTTCAGCGTCCTTGTTTTGAAAAGCGAGACCCTACACGTGCCCAGAGTCCTCTATTTTTCTGCCCTCTTTTTGTCATCTCTTCCAAAAAGGAATTGGAAGCAAAAATTCTCAGTTGAGAATTGTCTCTTTTTATGTTATTTTCTGTTTTAGACAGCCTTTATATTTTCACTCTTAAATAATGATCGTAAAAATGAACCTTATACCAGGCCATCTGCATTGGTAGATATTACTTGAAATTTAATAACTTTCGATTATTCTTTTCTGTAAACAGTTCTAGTGAATTAATTTTTTTCGTTACCGTATCCCTATAGTCGCTTCAAAGTCCAGCTTTGTGATTTTTTTAATAATTATTTCAAAGACCTGATGTTTCTTTTCCCTGCCAGTATGTATTCTTTTGATTTTACTAGCCATAAACAAGGAAAACCATTGTACAGGGTGAGTCAACGAGAGAGTAAAGTCCATTATCTCATTTGTTTCGAGGTTTACAAAAAAATATTAAATACAAAAGTTATAGGGAAGGTTAAGATACACATTTTAAAATTATTATAGAGTATACAGGGTTCTTCAAAAATGTGTGGCGGATATAACATATGTTTTTTTAAATGCAACACCCTATTTTTTATTTTATTTTTAGATTCTGCGTAAAATTCTATAACTTTTTTTATATATAATGTTATATACCTAAAATTAATGGTTTTTGTAATATTTAAATTTGTTTATACAAATGCAGTGTGGTAAAAAATTGTCAGTTGTACCATTCTTTCTGAAGTTGGAATACCAAAATTTGGTATGAAAGTTCTATAGAGATTAAAAAGAAGATATATGTTAATATATTGTAGTTAAATGCTACAGGGTGTTTAAAATATATTTATGAATTTCAACTAATTAAAATTAAAAAATCTCAAATTTTTTAAATGGTACACCCTATATATTTTCATTTTTTCTGATAGATTTTGCAAAGCTCTTCAACTTTTATTAAGTATGTCATATACCTATTTTTAATAGTTTGCGACTTATTCCAATTTTTTCTATTTTTACTCTAATTTTTAATACAATTACGCTATAACATCATAGTTGCCGTGACTAACTTGTTATATAGTCTGTGAAACGAATAACTTTGAATTTGACAGTTCCCGCGGGCTTTTCTAGTGTAAATTCTATTAGGTTAGCAGCTTGCGGCCATGCTGATGCAATGCCGTCTCTAATAGAACAGCCTCGGAAAGAGATTTATGACGTCACGCTAGTTAGATACTACGGATTAATTATGTTCTAGAATACATGGAAAATATAATTATTCAAAATTACATATATATTTATATGTAATTTTTTGGATTATATTCGACACTATTTTTTTCATATGACACAACACTGATGACCAAAAAAAAATAATGAAAAACCAAATGAAAACTTAATCAGCGTTTTTCCCGAACCTAAATCCCAAGAAAATCAAAAATTTTAGAATAATTTTACATATAAAATGACAGCGATCTTTATTTCATAGCCATCGCTTTTCATGTTAAATTAGATCGATTTTCAAACCCCAAAATTTAAAATATATTTTACATTTTACCCATTATCTTATGTACCTATTCATTATTTGTATATTATAAAACATTTGCTGCATTTGTATGGTTCATAGTTTATTTGCCAAAGTATTTATTACTATAAATCGTATATATATATATATATATATATATATATATATATATATATATATATATATATATATATATATATATATATATATATATATATATATATATATATATATATATATATATATATATATATATATATATATATTGTATTTATTAACTGTATATTATGTATATTTCATGTAAACTATATCATTTTTAAAATACAAACCAAAAATACAAGGAATAATTATGTTTTCCATGTATTCTACAACATATTTATTAATCCGTGGTATCTAACTAGCGTGACGTCATAAATCTCGCCCCGAGGCTGTTCTATTAGAGACGGCATTGGTCTGATATTTAGAAATGTCAAAGACTGATGACATTTTACTTTTATCAATTATCACATTTCGCGTTGTTTTTTGCAAGAATAGGAAGAACTGTCACTTGTTTTATTATTTTCCTTTTCTATTTCACGAAAATAAAAAGAGTTACCTATCTGATTCGTTCAGGCACTCATTTAGAGAATATCAGTAACTTTTTGGATAGAGGGATTATATATTTGCCATGTTGGTAAAAAATAACGGTCAAAATTCAAAGTTATTCATTTTATAGACTATAGCTCTTAATTCATACAAATAAACTTCTAAATTTTGACGCAAAATTCATTGACATAATATGTAGGTATATTTTAGAGCTGTTAATAAAAATATCCAATGCATAACGTCAAAATGTGGCCAAATAAAACTAAATCGCGAACGTTTTTACTATAAACTAAGGATGAAGTAAGTATTGTCAAATAACAGTCCTCATATAATGTCCTAAAAATATTCTATAATGCTCCCAACATCATCCTTGTATTATCCTATAAATATCCTAAATAATCGTAAAAGGCTTGCCCAGGGATGTCTTGAAGATGACTTTTTTTGTCCCATCTGGATATCCCATAAATATCCTCCTCTGGTTTTTGGATATCCCTAAGATATTTACTATATCCTTGGTGGATATCCGCAAGATATCTAAAGGATTGTGTTGTGTTATATGGGTCCAGTATGTTGTGATGCAAATGTAGTGGTTTTTGCGTTTGATTGTAAGCAAAATCGTACTTCAAAGTAAAATACAGACTGTCCATATTTCAAGAAAACAATGACTACCAACATAAAACAATTTTTATCGGCCAACTTACTAGATGCAACAGCGTGCTGTATTTTTTAACCAGGATATAAAGGTTATAAGGAAAAGGAAAAAGGGTAATGGTGTGGATCCGGTGGCTGACCTTGAAACGAGTTTTTGCTGCATATAGTCACAGACACTACGCATGCGCACATCTTCGATGTTGCCAGTTTGCAAGTTATTTTGGAATTATTTTCAGTAGAAAACAAATATATGCTTTTCAGTGTTTTTTTGTCAATATATACCGTATAATCGAAAAAACGGCGTCCAGTTGGCTGGGAAATGACGATTGAGGACATTTCCCATATAAAATGACAGCGATCTTCATTTCATAGTCATCGCCGATGCTATTTTTTTCAATTATATACGCGGTATATTATTTATATTATATACAATAAAATTAAATAGAAATAAAACCCTAGATTCCTATAATTAATCTAATTGCTCTAGATTATTATGCTATGTTTAAAAAGGGCTTTATTAAAAATTCGGGAAATTAAAAGGGATGTGTCCAAGTTTTTTCTTTTTTCTTTTTTTTAATTTTTAAATGCTGTAGCTCCATGTCATGTTCATAATAGTTTTTTTAACATTCCATCAAAACTACGGAGGCCTTAAAAGGCCTTTTAGCCTCCGTAATTAAAATTGTAGAATCAGCTTCAGCAACATTAACAGTTACCTTGTTTTAATTCTGCTTATACATATATTGCATTAATTTTTCTGCTACCTTAAGATTTCTCTATTCTTACGTGATAATCTTATGTGATTTTCTTAGCATATATGAAAACCATATTTTTCCTAATGGAAGGATGGAATAGGATATGCAAAATTAAGATATTTTAACATTTATTTTCCAGATAAAGCATAATATAGTATTAAGATTAAGACATAACAAGTATTATAAGAAAGATCTTAATATAAATCACAAACTAACTAAGTCTTAATTTGGTTTTGTATAAACACAGGTATAAAACTAATAAGATCAAAACTCAACCTTCACCATATTGTCAAGATTTGGCATTATAGGAAACAAGAAATTACAGTAAATTATGAAAAGAATATCAAAGTACACGATATTAAGTACTGTAATGTATTCTACGACACAAACCATCTCTCTTCTAAAGAGAAAAAGATAAAACATAAAGTTTATTTTAGTCTTATCAACACACTCTTCGATAAAATATATGTCTAAAATTGCTATTAATCCACTAACTTGATATTTTTAAGAAATTATGATACAAACATTATAATCAAAGTATATTATATTAGTAACATTAAAGATTATAGGTAAAATGTTACCTCTATCTCCCAATGACGTGTATATTGTTCTATAAGACTCGTCATGGTAGTACTTCGATACATTAATACATATAACCAAAACTATTGTTGCCTGTAAATAACTAGAAATTAAATAACTTGAAAGAAATAAAATAATTCTAATAAGTTTAAAACCATTAAGAAAAAATACGTAAATGATCATTTTTAATTCTAATGTAAATATATAAATAACTGTTATTATTATTACAATTTTATATATTCTTTCTTACCTTAATTTTGGATATCAAGATAAATCTGAAATTATAAAATTAATTATAGAATTTGTATTATTATTGATTAACACTCAAAAAAAAATTTTCAACTGCAAATAAAATAATTCGAAAATAAACTGCAATTTGGCAACATCGACGATGTGCGCTTGCGTAGTATCGATGATCAAATGCAGCAAATATGGGCTTCAAGGTCAGCCACCGGATCCACACCTTTACCGGAAAAAGTTTCAAAGTTATATTTATTAGAACTTTAATAATCTGGTAATGCTTTCGACGTCTTTGGTGAAGTGCATCCACATCAACTTTATTTGAATTCTTTTTTTTTCAGGGAGTTGGGTAAACAATATGGTGCCGGATTCATGGCAGTGGACTGCACCAGCCATTTCACAGCCCTAGCCCTAAGAAAATTAGGATTTGAACTCCACTACTCGCTCAAATACGCCGATCACAAAGAAAATGGCCAGGTTGTGTTCAAACCTGAAAAACCTCACGAAGCTGTCACAGTATACGTTCAAAAATTCTAATTTATTAACTCTATTTTTATTGGTGTAGTGTATGCATGTTGTGTAAGGAAAAAATATATCTGCTCTATTTTTCTGAGTAGATTTTTTAAAGAAAAAGTATATTATAAACCAAAAGAATGTATTTTGACTGATTACTTTGATTCTGCTCAAGATTTTACATGTACTCTAAATAAAACGGACCTATTTTTGTCATTATTTTTATTTTATTTCGTAGAACTACCATTTAGCGCTGTTTTTTAAAACCATATGTGATCAAAGAAATGAAAAACTACTTATATACTGTCTTATTTACCAACTTACATTAGTTTAGTTTCGGTTGCACTATATCTATCGCATAAGTTCTTAAAAATGACAGCTAGCTAATCGTGAATTATTTAAAATTCTTTGAAATAACATAAGAATTAAAAATTCAATCTTAAATAAGGCAATATTCATTTCTAAACCAACTCTGACATCGTTTTTTTTTTCGATCGTATTATTATAAAATATGATCGAAAAAAAAACAAACGGCGTCAGTGATGGCATTGAAATGAAGATCGCTGTCATTTTATATGTAAAATTATATGGGGAATGTCACCGATCGTTATAGATTTGAAATAACTCAGGACTGATTTTTAATCTTTATAAACTTAACGATATACAGTACGTCTACTGGATCTGTGTCTATGAAAGGAATGCGGACATTTAAATAAACAACAATATGTTTTATACATCGACTTGACAAGTACGTCACCGCAAATCGCTCCGCCCACTCATTTTATTGGCTAGTTGCAAATTTATCGAATTTTTATTGATGGGACGCGTCGTCTAATTTTTTACGAAAAACATCGAGAGAATATCGTTTCCCCTCTCACGGATACCCCGTAGCTACAGAACGGACAGACGTACTGTACATAGCAGTGTTCGAACAGGATTGCTATATTTCAACGCTTACCTTGTCGACGTTTTTTTTTTTTTCATTTTAAGGGTAAATAAGCACTTGAATTAATATACAAGGTGTCCCAGAAATAAGTGCAAGTATTTTAGCTGGTAGTATAGTTCAACCCCAGAAACACGGTTTTTTCGCAAAAACAATTTTTGAAAATTCGGAATTTTTTGAAAACATTTTTGGAATTTTTTTTTAGTTTTCAGTTACAAAACATAATTTTTTGATAATATGGCAACATAGGTAGTAGATTCAATTTACAAAAAAGAAAATCCAGAAAAGATCCAGTGTTGGTTCTAAAAATTTGAGCAAAAAATATTTTTTTTGGAATTTTTCGAAGTAAAATAACTCCGTTATTTTCAACTTATTTGGAAAACGATATAGAGAAAATATGTTTCCTTTATCGAGATCTACCATACCCCTTAACTGCACTTATTTCTGGGACACCCTGTATAATTTTCAAAAATTATTTGTTTATTTAGTAAAACAGTATTAAATAAAATACATATTTCTTGTTAATAAATAATATAAAAAAATAACAAAATGGTTGAAATAAAATTTATAGGAATTACATATAAATTTATAAAATATTACATAGGTACTTATACTAAATGTGTCAAAATATATATGTAGTTGTGTGTTATATACCGTATGATTGAAAAAAAACAGCGTCCAGTTGGCTTGGAAATGACGATCGATGACATTTCCCATATAATTTTACATATAAAATGACAGCGATCTTCATTTCATAGTCATCGTTGACGCCGTTTTTATTCGATCATACGGTACTTTGAATAAGAAGACTAAGGAAGGAGCATAATGCTATCCATGTATTCATGCATGGTGGGCGGAAAAGCCACCATAAATGCTCTCTAGGGTGGGGATCCTTGACAGTTCTGTTTGACGATTCATTTGACACATTTGAATTTGATTTGAAATTTTGTGGATTTGTCAGTCTTTACGGAGCTTATTTTATGTTATTTATTATTTATTCTACTACTGATAGTTGTATAAAGGTAGTAAATCTAGATGGAAATTGTGGCAGCACTTAAATTAACAGTGACACTATCGCTATTTATCGAAAAAGACTCTAAAATAGTTGGTTGTGTAGCGTGCGGTAGATCTCGGCAAAAATTGAGTGAAATAATGGAACAACTTTTCGCTAGTAAGTGACTAAAGAATATACATACGTGTAGTAAACCGATCATTTATGAAATTCACTTAAATTAACTAAATTATATATTTTTCTTGCTTTTTTGCTTTTATTTATTACTTGTCAAAGATTAGATGTCAAAGAATTTAGATACGTTAATTTGACTTACCTGCTTCAGTAGCGTATCGGATGTTTGTGGTAATAAATACTTATTATAACTTATCTATTTTTAATAGAATTATATATTTTTATAACAATTTTAATAACTACCAACATTTATTCACAACGTAAAATAAAACAACAAATTATTGAGTCTACCCTACATCATAGTTTTACATTTATTAAATGAAATTAGAACGACACTGATAAACCGGAATTTAAGTCGGCCATATTTGAGGCCCATCGCGGTGTACCTAAGATTTTTGATATGCTCCTTCCATAGTCTTCTTATTCAAAGGTTATATACAATTTTTTTGATTATATTACAAATATATAAATATAAAAAATATATCTTCAAACATTTTTAAGCCTATTTAATATTATAGAATTAAAAAAAGTTACATGTGATATATGTATTGGTTGAAGAAAAAATGATGTACAAAAAGATTAAAATTTTATTAAAATATTTCGAAAAGTTTTGTACTTTTATATTTTTCCAGTTTACTATGTACTTCCTTTATTGTGATGTGTAGTTACTCGGCCTATTATATAAAAAGTTGTATGGTCTCTGTACAGTATCTAAAAACGATTATATTGTATAAGTGTACAAAAATAAACGATTAAAAACAATATTATTTTGTTTATTTTTTATTAAAGGGTTTTCAGTTTTTTTCAATAAACAACTCAATAAAAAGCAATAATATAGCAATATTGTTAGCTCCTGAATTATTAATACAATAAGATAAGTATTTGCTACCTAAAATAATAAATATCTCGTTATTAAATTAAAAAATGCGGGCAAAATTTAAATTTAATGATGTCAGCGACATCTATACATAATATCAGTAAGTATACCCACCTGGGACCTCTATTAGACAGAGGCGTAACTAAAACAATTTCAGTTATTCCTGCCATCTACCGACAATTTAACGAATCTTTTATAGTTTTTACAGGGATCTACCTTTCGCTCTCCTGAAAATTTTAATTTTCAAAATCCTTTTTAGAAATACGTTAAATTCATACAAAATATTTATTGAAAACAAAAAAATACTGATCAAACAAAAATAAACATATATTACTCAAGACTCTTCAAATACTCTAATTCACGTTGTTTTTGTTCCTCAAATTTTTTTCTTAAAATTTCCAATTGCACTAAATTTCCGTTTCTATTGGCTCTTTCCCTGACTTCGTTTAATGTTTCTTCTGCTTCATTAGATAGTCGTGTCATCTGGTTACTTCTATACCTTAAAACAAAACCCTAGTAAACTTAGAAGTTTTTTATTTAAAATCTATACATAAAAAACTAAAAATAAATTAATAAATAACATCAAAAAAAATACATTTCAAGACTTTCTAGCCTGAAACTTCTTCAGTCTTTCTCTTTCTTCACTAAAAAAGAAAATTAAATCAGCAGATTATATACAGTGTGGCTCTTTGAACATCAATGACCGAAGAATACACAGATGAGATGACACCAGGGACAATTATAGCAATTTTTTATGGTTTATTACAATGGTGATTTGTTCAGGTGTAAAAGGTGGTATTATTGCTCTTTGTATTCTTTATAGCCACTACTGAACATCAACTTTTTCACTTAGAAATTTATTCCAACAAAAAAAAATTACTACATACCTCACAACCATCATCTGCATTGTAAACGACATTAGTGCTAATATTATACAGCAAAACACTATTGTAGCCTTAGAAGGTCTATGATTTAGGCCAAACGGTATATCTTCCTCTCTATATCTTCGTTCATAATGTTGCTGATGGTGAAAGTACGGATCGTCCCAATAGCTTAAATTATTTCAATTTTAAAATTCAATTCCGTGCTTTAATACTGCATTTACCTCCTGGGACCTTCGCCTCTAAATCCTGGTTTCGATGTATAAACATTATGAATATGTCTATGAGGATTTGATAATGAAAGATCGTACGATGCTTTTGGACCAGGCTTGCTCAGAACATTATAAGCTTCCTGTATCTTTAAAAACTGATTATGAGCATTAGGGTCCTTGTTAAGGTCTGGATGATGCTAAAAAAATATTTCTTTAAGGTACAGTTCATTTAAACTCGTAAAAAAAATTACCTCTTTCGAAAGCTTCAAAAACGATTCTCTGACTTCTTTAGACGTACAGTTCCTTTGTAATTTCAGCGTTTCATAATGCGTGGCCTTATTGGCGCTAGAAATTTGTAATTGAACCCATCCCAAAAAAGTTTTATTTCATTTTGCGCTTACCAGGAATTATGGAAGCATCTGTAGAAATTATTGTATGACAGCTTCAACAGATACGTGCAGCAACTTTGATTCATGCCAGGAAAATGGTCATTCACTGAAATTTTGAGATGGTTGATTTAGAAATCTTGATAACGAACGGGAAATTTTGTGATGTGTGAATTTTTTTGATGTTTTTGTTATGACACGAATGTTTTCATAACAATTTCGATACTAAATTTTTAAATCTAGTATATTTTCGGACCTAATATTTTAATATTTAAGATTCGACTATCTAAAATCTAAAATCCTCTACCACAGAGCAAGATAATATTATAACCTACAAAACAAACGTCACGTAAAATTTGAAAAACAGTGACGATTTGTTTTGCATTTGTTTAAACTAAATTTCCAAGCCCTTATCTGACTAATTCAAACTATTATTTTAGGACGAAAACATAGAAAATAAGTAGTTTTTCAAATAGTAACCGACTGAGAATGAGTAGTGCACAAATTCAAGGTGATAATCTCCTCCAATACCCCACAATTAGTTCCTCCTCCGACTCGTACGATATCCCTTTTGTTTCCAAATATCCTATCGGAGGCAGACCTAACTGCAGATCAGCTCGTAGAAGAATTGAGTTCTCCCATCCTGAAATGATATTCCAGCCTATCGTATCTGTACCTAATATTAATCCTAGTATGTCTATTATAGTAAAATACTAAAAATATCCTTATGACTTAGATGACTGTCTCTAATATACGTAATTATTATATTTAGGCAATAATAGAAGACATAATAATGAAGAAATATCAACTAGATATGCTACCTTATCGGTAGCATTAATATTTCTAGTATCTATCACTGCCTTATATGTTGTTTACCAGAAATTCCCAGAAGTTACAGAGTAAGTTAGTATATAATATTTTTAAAATGGATTATTTTAAAGTGTGTATATATTTTACAGAGAAGAAAAAGAGCATTTAAAGATTCCCTGGAATATAGAGGACGCCAAACAGTTAGGAATAGTTTTAAATAGATACAAGGGGGACCATTATTATCATGTGATGTCTGGTGTATTTTTAACTTATATATTGTATCCTTTTTTAAAACTTATTCTTTTATTTCAGTTATTATGAACTAAATCTATGTTTTTCTTAACAGATTGATGTAGCCTTCAAACGTTTGCCATTCCAGGATCGTTATTTTTATCGATTTTATCTGGGTACCTGTTCCCATTTTATGTGGCCTTAGTGTTAGTGTGTACGTGTTCTATGGTGGGCGCTACACTGTGCTTTATGCTGTCCCAACTGTTGGGCAGGAAGCTCGTACTGAAATACTTCCCTGAAAGGGCAAGCAAGTGGAAGATTCAAGTCGATAAACATAAAGACAATATGTTTAATTATATGGTTTTTCTTCGAGTGACTCCAATACTTCCTAACTGGTTTATAAACTTGTCTGCACCAGTTATAGGCGTGCCTTTAGTACCGTTTGCATTAGGAACATTCGTTGGTAAGTCGCAAAGTTTATATGTATACTCAGATGCAAAAAAACGCAATAGACAATTTTTTTTGTCAAATTTAAAGTGCTTGTATTTTTTTTTAGCAATCAGTATATAAATATATTAACTTTAATTCGTAAACTCAGTTATTTATAAACTTCAATATTCAAAACACCCTCTAATAATTTCGTGGGCAAAGTCTTTTTTATAGAGGGTCTTGCAACAGTGCGTCGTGCATCTGTAGGGCCCACAAAACAAATTTTAACTTCTACATTGTGGCTCAAAAAAGTGAGTGGATCGGGATGTTTTTATTTTAATGGAACACCCAGTACATTATTGCATTTTTGGCTTTCTTCTTAATCACTTTACATCGACTTTTAAATTTGTTTCGGTAATTTCAGAGAGAAAAATTAAAAATATATACAGGGTAGCTCACCTCATTCGCCTCGGTTGATTATACGAAAACGGAAAGATATAGAAACAAAATATTTTATGGGTATATGTGGGGAGGCAATGTGCACAATTTAAAATTATTTTGAAATATACAGGGTGTTTCAGAACTCAGATGAATACCAAAGTTATATTTTTTCTTATGGAACACCCGGTATTTTATTTCATTTTTGGATTCTTGGGCCCAAAAAAAGGCATTTAATATAAGGGTTAAATATGTTTAAAATCTTTGGTTTTTGAAATATTTAAAGATATTTAAATATGCATGTTACTATAGAATAGATTATTAACACCCTGTACTTACTTAACACCCTGTATCAGACTGTATGATGAGTTATAACTCAAGAAAGGGGCACACAATAGATCTCTAAGGTCGCAGAGATTAACCCCCCTCCCACTTATTCTAAATTCTAATTCTAATTAGACTAAATGAAGAACTCGATCGAATAGGAACTCTTTCAGCGCGCCAATATGGTTTTCGAAAAGGTAGACAAACAATACATGCGATCGAACATGTACTTCTTATTGTCAGACAAGCAGCAGATTATGCACCAAATAATAGAAAATTATGCGCAGTAATTACTCTAGATGTGCAAAATGCGTTCAACAGTGCTTCGTGGCAGATCATTCTGGACGAAATGCAAAAATGGGGTATAAGTTCGTCTCTAACATGGTGGCATCTTATCTCTCTGAAAGGACAATTTTAATTGAAGACGATACTGCTAAAAGGCAGATTAACGTAACCAGTGGAGTGCACAGGGGTCAGTACTTGGCCCAACACTATGGAATATCCAGTACAACAACCTACTGGAAACGGCAATGCCCGAAGGAGTAACACTAATCGGCTTTGCCGATGACGTAGCGATGGTGGTAATGGCCAAAAACGAAAAGACACTAATGAGTGTTGCTAATGCAGGGCTACAACGAGTGGCCAACTGGATCGAGCGCAAAGGTTTAAAACTAGCACCGAGCAAAACTGAAGCGGTTTTATTAACCACCAAGAGGAAACTCTCTCATATATCATTTGAGCTTCTCGGTACAACAATTTCACCAAAGAATGCAATAAGATATCTTGGAGTTTGGCTTGATTCAAAGCTTACATTCGGCGAGCATATAAATCAAGTTATACGAAAGGCGGAACGAACTTTGACCGCACTGGGTAGGCTGATGCCTAATATAGGAGGGCCACTTGCTTCCAAACGTAGAATCCTAGCCTGCGTAGCACACTCTCAACTGTTATATGCCGCCCCAGTGTGGCACTTCGCAATATCAAAGGGATATATAAGGCAAAAACTTAAAGGTATACACCGTAAACTGAACCTCAAGATCTGCAGTGCATATAGAACCGTCTCCGCTGAAGCATTAAATGTCATATCCGGGGTGCCGCCTATTCACCTACTTGTAGAGGAGAGAAGAGAGAGATACAAAGGGACATCAAAACTGGAGGCAAGAAGCATACTGATGATTGAATGGCAAAAGGAGTGGGATCTAGATAGATATGGTAGATCTATGTGACATGATCTATGACACATGATCTCATACCTGACATTAATATCTGGTTAGACAGAAGCTTTGGAGAGACGGACTATTTCCTAACTCAGGCACTGACAGGGCACGGATGCTTTAACAACTATTTGCATAAAAGGGAGAGATCCACCTCAAATTTGTGTATGTATTGCAAGGAAGTTGACAGTGTCGAACACACACTATTTCTCTGCAGTGAATGGAAGCAGTTTAGAGAGTCATTCCAACGGGACAGTGGACAAGTCTTTAATGCCAAAAATATGATGCAAGGGCTACTAAGTGGTGAAACGTCATGGAAAATTACATATAGATGCATTCGAGAAATAATAGAAACCAAAGGAAATAGAATGCGGGGCCTAACCGCATAGACAGCCTTCCAGCTGAAGTAATGCGCAAGCGGTTTCCAGCTGGATAGAGCGATGGAATGCGAGGAGGGTTTTTTTAGTCGGTAGGAATCAGACACTACCCAACGGTGTCTTATGCAAGATTTTTCCCCTCCTCCTCGAGAGAAAAAAAAAGCAGATACTGCTTTATTTTTCTTGATAAAATAATGAACACTTATTTATTAAACTATTGTAGGTAAATCTAAGAAAACTGTTATAAATTATAAATAATAATGTCCATAACCTAATGTCGACTTTGAAAATAGTTACTAACTGTCACTAGAAAATTGCCATGACGTCAGCAGCCATCTTGATTGCAATTTTATTTAAAAATCGCTTTTTATTCAAAACCTAAGCTAGATAGGTATAGGAAACCCTAATATAGTTTGAAAGAGCATTTGAATCTGCTTCGGTTTATTTTAAAAAATACAGGGCGTTGCATTTGAAATAACGAAGTTTTTATATAAAATATATCCTTAAAATAGATCCATGCCATGCCATTTTTCAGTAAAGTTTATTTCTTTACCTTTAAATTCAGCTCAAGAATTAATTGTGAAAAGTAAGGTACAGATCGTTAATAATCTATTCTATTGTAGCATGCAAATTTAAATATCTCAAAAACCCAAGATTTTAAACATATTTAAACCTTCTAATAAATGCCTTTTTTTGGGCCCAAGAATCCAAAAATGAAATAAAATACCGGGTGTTCCATAAGAAAAAATATAACTTTGGTATTTATCTTAGTTCTGAAACACCCTGTATATTTCTAAATAATTTTAAATTGTGCACATTGCCTCCCCCACATATACCCATAAAATATTTTGTTTCTATATCTTTCCGTTTTCGTATAATCAACCGAGGTGCGCCACCCTGTATATATTTAAAAAAAAATATTAGAAAATGTGCCTTGAAATCAAAACTATTCAAGGTACTTACTATAATTGGTTTGTATTTTTACTATATTATATATATCGTAATCTTAAATCATACAGGGTGTTCAAATTATTATGCCAAACTCTCTAAAATATAAAATAATTTTTCTTCGTTTTTTTTTTAATGGAACTCCCTGTATATTATTTTAATTTGCTTTTTTAAATGCAGAATTAAAAGCTGAATATTTTAGTGTTATTACATGGCTATTTCAACGGTAAAATACCAGAAAAAAATCACATTATAAACATTTACTATTGTAATTGTAAACCGCGAATATCTGCGGAACCGTTAAAAATTTTGAAATACTTTAAACACAAGAAGTGTTAATTTTTTAATTTTGCATTTAACAAAAAAATTATATACAGGGTGTCCTATTTAAAAAAAAGAAGAAAAATTATTTTATATTTTAGAATTCTTTGCGCAGAATTTTTGAACAACCTGTATGATTTAAGATTACGATATTTATAGCAAAGTAAGTACAGACCAACTATAGCAAATATCTAGTTATTGTTTTGATTTCAGGACATTTCTTGTACTTTTAATATTTTTTTTTAAAAAGACTGAGAAAAATATATTTGTATTTCTTTGTTGTATTATGTAATATCTTTGAAGCTATTAACACAAATTTCATAATATCTTAGGACTATGTAAAATGAAGGAAGCCAAAAATGCAATAATATAGAGGGTGTTCCATTAAAAAAAATTAATCCTGATCACTCACACTTTTTTGAACCCACTCTGTAGAAGTTAAAATATTTTCCTGAAATACCTAGTACACACTTTGGTTGCAAAATTTATAAGATTAGTTTGTACCACACTGTCTAATACACATACAAAATCAGTTTTTTAGTATTTGAAGCAAATATTATTAATCAACGTAAACAGTCAATACGTAACAGCAAAATAAAAACACTAAATCACCACAATACACCAAAACACTTTTACTTTTACACTGGACGCGCGTTTCGCTAACCATGTTAGCATCATCAGCAGATGATTATAAACTAAAGTACAATCTATGGGGTACCGAGTGGGCGTGGTAAAATCTAGCCAACTGAGTCAGAGCCCACTGAGCGTAACAACACAAGTAACAGTTAGATTTCCGCCACTAGAGTACTAGGAACAATTGGACCGTTGTCTCTGTTCATACTATCTTTACATTTATTAATTCTGATGCTTTCATATGCATCTAATTGCCTGTAATTTGAGACTTGTTTAATTAATTTTAAATTATTAAGGTCTATACAATGTTCTTTATCAACAATATGTTCGGCAACGCAAGATTTATCCGGTCTACCATATCTTATCTGAGCTAAATGTTCTTTAAATCTAGTTAATATTGATCTTCTAGTTTGCCCAACATATTTCTGATTACAATATTTACAAGAAATTTCATAAATACCCGACCTTTCCAGTGGAGGTGTTTTATCCTTTGGATTACCTAATAATTGTTGTAATTTATTATTAGCACTATACACAAGTTTATAATTGACATTCTTAAAAATTCCTTTTAGACCACGGGATATATCTCTATCAAACGGTATCGAAAAATATTTAGACGTATCTTTCTCCACTTGAAAAGTCGAATTTTCAGAAATCATTAACCTATACCTAGCTTTTCTAATTAATTTATCAACTAGTGATGGAAAATATCCATTACACTCAGCTACATTCCTAATGTAATCTCTTTCTATTTCATATCTTTCGTTGGAAAGTGGGAA